AAATGAACCGCTACTTCTGTGGCCCTTTTCCAGTGTCTCGGTGACGGGAGATTTCAGCGTACCATTGCTAATGTGATTCTGTGTTTCAGCGGCATCCTTGTTTCGTGATCAACAATCTGTATCAACTTCGAATACAACCTAGTTAAAGAGCAATCTTCAATATTTCGTCTGTGAAGAAGTACTGTGATCTTATTATGATAACAGTTCTGGGGCATCTTTTTGACGCAAAGGAACCTAAGACTATCGGCTTGAATGAATCAAAAGCTCCCTTTTGGATCAAGAAACACTGACTATTGGTCAATGGTACCTGTGATGCAACCTACATAAAAACAGAGTCAACAAATCACGCGCCCAAATAGGATTACGGTCTGTTCGATAATATTCAACTTTCCTAAAGGCGTAACACGTCTGGTTATGATGGAGGTCAATACATAGGTAACTATCGGGATCAAACTAGTTTCACTGTGGTCTGCGCAGTCCTGCCAGGATACCCTCCTGAAAATGAAAGCGTTCAGCTCTTTACTCCCATCCCAGACCATGAAATACTAGGTTTCGTGCAGTCATTTATCATCAGAGTTCATGGGTTCAAAACCACCCGTCAAGAAAAGACGGACGGAAAGCCCGTCAATTCCCATTGCTTTTTCATTCCTGAAAGGCCTTTCTTCTGCTTCTGGAGGAGAATCGTATGACCCTATCCACGAGGCTCCAGCTTCAAACGAAAAAACAAACTAGATAGCGCTTGGACTAGTACAGATGAACTGTTCGTCGAAATACTCAGCTCACCAGTCAAATCGCCTAACCTTATTGAAAATAGCTAGTCCAGACTGCTTCACTAACCGGGATATTACAAAGACTGTGAAATTATGAAATACTTTTCTGATCGTTGTATCTCCAACCACTTATGGTCTTACTTATTTCAAAAGCAGGATTGACAAATCAGTTCTCACCGGAGTGTTCACCCACATACCTTTCCTTCTACGATGTATCACGAACTGCTGGATTTGCCCACTTATACGATAAATCACTGTATGTAATCTTCAACAATGCCCAAGCCCAGGTTTTTTCAAATAAAACTGTTGGATGAACTAACCGAGGATGCGGACTCGGCAATGAACATTTTTCTTTTTCATTGTATTCCCTTTTATTGAATACATAATGATACGATTTTCAGGAAAGGGGAAGCGGCCAATCAAAGAGCTACCATTCAACACATTACAGGGAAAGTCGGGCGGTGGTGGTGGGATTGGAACACATATCCCAGAGGTGATAATTCGGTGACATTACCACCGAGGTGTAGAAGCGTTAAGTTAACCATAACTGGTACGTGACCAGACTTAAAGCGGTTGATCCAATAGGATCTGCCAGTTTGCACTGAGAAAACGGTAATTTGCCGTTAAGCCGTCCATTGGAGCCAGTCTACTCGTTGAATTTGAGTGCTAAGTTGCCTTATATCATTTTACTGCGACGGCGACTGGAGCAGAACTCCCAACATGGAGACGAGAATTTTATTTTAACATCCCGGGTACCTCGTGCAATCATCACCATACGTCAAATTTGCAGTCTCCCAGTGACAGGTTGCACTGGCCAAGGCAGGTGAATTTTCTTGAGGAATCCACAACCGGGGCTTTCGACTCTTCGGGCTCTCAAATGGGTGGAAAAACACCTCCGCCAGCACGAGAAGGCAGTGAGTAGGGCTTCCTCAGCAGAGGCTATTCGAGATGCTTGGTAGTATGGGAGGAGCATTTCGCGAGGTGCAAGGGGGGGTGGGGTGACCCTACACACCTCACCTCCCACCCCGAGAGCGAAATACGAGCACAATGGTTACCGAATGTATGGCTGACGGGATGAGATGAACACCGTGTTTGATAGTGGAGTCTGAACGATAGTCAGTCTGAATAAATGTCATTTATCACTACGCCAACCAACATTACCAGGTCAGAACAGTTTTCACAACTAGTAACTATGCGTTTTCGTGAACCGATTTTGGTCGTTGTCTCACAATCTCTCAGTTGGATGTGAGTTCGCTCACTTGCTGTCTTCAGCGACAATCAGTGATGCTGTCGGGTTCAGCTGAAACAAAAGGAAACACTATACTACCCGGTAAGAATAATCGAAAGCCTCTCACCAAATCAGATCTCCTAATTATTGCACATTTAATCTAACGCACCCAATAAAATACATACAGTTAGATTTATAATTCACACTTGTCTCAGTTAGACGTAGCGCTCGGGAACAAATGAAACTAACATGAATAAGCTATTCTGTTCAAAAGATTAAATAGTCTCTCTTCGTGGTTACTGGGTCTAACGATCTGTTAGACTGACACTGAAGAACAAACATCTCTGTTAGATATGCACCACTAATGTGTGCTCTAACAAAAGCGGAACTTGCCTTTGGTGCTACCCGAACCAACATTTTGGTGGAATAACAAGTTGATTGGTGTGAAGAAAATGTGCTTTGCTTCGTAACAAGCCAAAAACTGCCGTCCACGTAATCAGAGTCAATTATCTGGTCAACTGAGTGGCAGACTGACCGAATGCATGACACAAATTTGTATAAGGTGTGTTGCGCAAGATCAGATCTTCCACCGTATCTCCTAGCTTGTTTCGCACTTGGCGAAGTGAAGTTTGCGGGATGGACATGAGGAAAATCAATGTTTCCGGACCTTGGTTATTTGAGACGGCCAAATGTAACGGGGTTTGATTGCTATTGGTTACTGAAACGATACGATTGGAAAAATAGGAGAAAAGAAATGTGGATTAAATGCTGATCGGTGATAAGATTATTTACGTACATTCACAATTTACAGGACACTGAAAGCACACGACAATCAAAGAAATTGGCTCCAGTAAGTGGTGGTGCCAGAAATCATAAAGCATCAGGGCTGGTTCGTACAAGGTGAATGAATGGACAACAATCTCCAGCAGCTGAGAAGCTGAAACAGTATAAGATTATTTACAGATTGCACCCTGAACTCATCAGTTAATTGAGTCGGTGTGCGACAAATCCTAGTTTTCGGAAGTTACCTCGGAATAAATTATCACATGCTGGATATTACATCGGGGACGAGCTTCGTGACAATTACCACACTTTATAAACTCCTGTGAAACGTACGTGTCAATGGGTTCACCGCTTTTTTCTGTTTAAGACGCAGTGATGTGCAGTGTGAGATCGTGCACGTATTGGTGTAACACTGTCACTACAGAAAAATCTGGCTGGTGATTACGTATCCCAGTCAAGTGTATTGTGCAATCAGAATCGTTTTACCACCCACCGCTTATTCAAACTAAGCAGTCTTGAGACAACTAGGCGGTGTGACGTCAGAGCAGTGTACCTAAACGTGTATAGTCATACATCACTTTTACGTTGGTAGTGAAGGTTACAACAAAATGTGTTGAAAAAATAATCTTATTCGGAAATATAAAATCAAAGCTAGTGGTTCTAAAAATAAACTCATCCCGAAGTAGATACCATTCTGGCAAATAATATAGCTCAGCTACTAAGCGTACTATTATAACGAATTATCGATACAATACTTCTGTAATTGAGGAAACAAGGAGTTTCGATTTTCGCTCTTATTAGAGCTCATCAGTAGTGTATCCACCGTCTCGTTTGGGATTTGAACTCCTAACCCATTGAATGCAAGGCGTATGGTACCACTGAACCCGATTGCCAATTTACGTTTGTTCCGGTGTCGTCTTCGGAAATGATCAGTCAGTTCAATTGTGCCCGATAGCAACGAAGGGAGATACAGATGACTACAGGTATTGACCAAACTCGTGCAACATCCTAGTTTTCATTACATTTGTTCCTCTCAATTCTTTATTCTTCCAGCCTCATTCACGGGATTGAATATGATATTGCCCCACATCAGATGCAACAT